GACTTGCAGAGAAAAGAGCAGAATTTGAGGTCTATGATTGGTAAAGTAAGTATTGTGTGATTTCCCAATGTCATTGCTCAGATTACGTCAAAATTCACTGCTAAATATCAAATAATCCTTTGCTTCAATCTCACAATTATAATGAGATTTGGAATGCCCCACAAGAGTTGTCATACCTTCTTAGTTCTAGAGAACTCTAGATAGAATATTTGTGTCTACACTTAGGATTCAACTTTAATAATTGTGTTTGGAGATATGCTTGTTTCATGTGTGTGTTTTTGCACTTATAGCATCACAGAAAACGATCAATGCAAAAGTTCAGTTATGGAAATAGAAATAGAAATGAGTTAAGGTCATCACCCTATTAAAAAAAAAACGCAAAATCACAATGGAATCATTATCACACATCTAATTGCATACTATATTTTATTAGTGACTGTTTAGGCCAATTCCCAAAACTGAAGCTTGTAATTTCACTTCTGTTTGACCTTCTACATGTATGTGTCTGCACCAGTATATGGAGTATGTTAAAACTTCACACATACATGTTTTCATTCCTTAGCATAGCAATATTGAAACTTATCCAACTTATTTTACTGTTTTTCTGCATCAACAGGCTGTTCTAAATGGTATTGATTCCATACGTCGAATTCTGGAAATCTTCCGTCGTAAAAAGATCCATGCAGATGTTGTGAATGGATACAACGGTTTGATGATTGAAAACTTTCAGACTGCTGCTAAATTTAATACCTGTGTGGAGGTAACAGCAGGGAGTAGGTGAGTTCTACATCTTTGCAATACATCTCCCAAGTTGGCCTCTGGGTTCTCTGCATGAAACTGCAATCTGGGCTTCAGCCTAGATTGGCGAATTACTTTTAGAGTTGGCTACAACAAATTGTCACTTTCACCACCAAAGACGAATTTTAAACTTACTGTGATCTGTGAAAATACAGATAAGATTTGTTGATTTGTTGTTGTTGCTGTTTCAGTTGTTTCATCACATCGTTGCCACTGATATCATTGCTACCAAGATTCTCACAGAAATGAACAAACAACGTATGCCGGGTGAAGTTAATTTTATG